CAAATATTTCCCCTCTTTATAGTACGGCTATCGATCCTAAGTCACCCACACCCTCTATGGTGTCTTGAGTGCAAAACAAAAACCTATCTTATACCTTTGCCTTGATCATCTCGGTTTTTGTTTTTCTCTTTTTCTTTTTCAAGTTGAGCTTGATCATCTTCAACATATGTCCATCTCCATCTCCATGGACTTCATGACCATGCTCCACACTTGGATTGCACCAACCTAGCTCATTTCATAACTCATGACAAAGGTTAGTGCTAGATTTCATCAATTATCCAAAACCAAACTAGGGCTTTCAAGTCATAAAACAGTTGTAGGAACTCTAATATCTTCTCAGCACAATACCAATGATTTGGAGACAACAGTGTAGTTCCATAATTAGAATTAACAAACACAGAAAAGACTTTCTTATATGAAACCAAGTGTTTCAGCATAAGTTATGTAGCATTTCATCTAACATCCATATCCAAGCCAAATTTTCTAGATCTAACACCCTTAGCAGTACAGTAGTTCTTGAACATAGCAATTCTTTGATTAGAGGAATTCAAGAAATTAATTACAGTTCTAAAATCTTCTAGTAAGGTTTCAACCTCTTTGATCCAGATTTAACAATCAGATTAGTTATATAACAAGCACAACGTTGATGCACAAGACTATACTTACGTTTATTAGGATCCTAGGGTTCAGGTGAAGGGTTAGGAGCCAAGTAACTAGCAAACATGGGTGTCAAAGTTTCTATAGCCTTACCATTAGATGAAGCATTATCAAGAGTGACAGAGAAAATCTTATCAATAAAACCAAACTCCTCAACCACAGCAGCAATTCTTTCAGCAATATATATTTTCACTAGAATGTTTCACTTCAATCAACCTAAGACCAATAACATTTTTCTGTAAATCACAATCAGCATTCACATAGTGAGCAACAACACTAATGTAGTCCTCCTTAGCATTACCAGACCAAATGTATGAAGTCAAAGCAACAGATGAAGCAACAGACAACACAGAATTCTTAACCACATCATGGCGTTCATTAAACAGCTTACCAAGATCTCTAGTGGTGGTCCTTCTAGAAGACTTAACAAACCTAGGGTTATGAGCATGAACAATATAGTCCTTGAAGGCCTCTGACTCACCTATACCTAATGGAAGGTCAAGCTTAGCAATCAACCGACACAACTCAGATCAAGCAACAGCAGGAAATTATAGTTCCAGTTATGCACAGAACCATCAAGATTAAAAGCAAGCCTAGACTGAACCCTAGCAGCATGATCAGTCTTTTCCCTACAAGATTTTTGGTGCCTAATCAAATGACCAGTACTAGTAGCAGATCTAGCACTCAAAACAGCCTTACACATTCTATAGATAGCAGTAGTTCGAATCTTGTTACCATTCACCTCCTCATAGATCTCCTCAAAATCAACCTAGACAGCAGACTTACGCTTACCCACAGCAGATGAGGTTGGAGGACCGTCTATGCTATTGGTGTTGGAGGCCACCACCATCCCTATTGCCGTCGCCGCCGCCCCTGCACCACCGCCATCCAGATCGATCGGAGCAGAGCCGACGTCGACACCAAACAACGTTGCAGCAGCGTCACGGATGTCATCGTCGTGCTCGGGGGATAGCCCTGCCGCGATCAGGTCTTCGTTGTCGGTGATAGGATAGACGACATCGTCATCCGCCATGGTGCCCTCGATCATGGACGACAGATCTCCAGCCTCGTTCCTCAATGGTGTGCGCGGTCGCCTTGCCCGCTCTATGCCACAACTAGAGGACAAGGCATCGGCAACCGACCTGCAGAAACAGGAGAAGGTCAGAAGGATGAATATATTAGGGTTAAGGTTAGGGTTAGGGTTAGGGTTCTTACCTGCACAACCGGAGCCCGGTGCCAGAGAAGACGAGGGCCGCACAGAGGCAACAAGACAAGGAACAGATTAGTAAAGACGGTGATCAATGGTGGAGGGACTGATGGGGACACAAACTCACATGGTCACCGAGACGACAGAGGAGAGATAGGGAGAAGGGAGAGGATTAGTGGACTCAGGGTCAGGTGAGGGAGCGGTGGCGAGGTCACCGGAGTTGGGGACGATGGCGATGGTCGACGCCTCGACGATCAAAGTTCAAGTGAGCGGCTGATGAGCGAGAGAGAGAGAGGCGTGGCGGGGAGGCAGACTGGCAGAGGGATTCTGATTAGGGTTTAGGGTAAGGAGAGGGGCGCCGCGGCTGCTGCTTATATATGGGGGGTTGTCGCACGAGCCAGGAAATTGGGTGAACACTACTGTGGGGGAGGCGGGGAGCCGTTGGAGAAACTAGGGCCCTAACGGAGCTGCCGTTGTAGGTCGGGCCAGGCCGGGCTGGCACGCCATGCCTAGGGTAAGGCCTAGGCATGGCCTACTCCCTCGGGCCGTGCCAGCCCAGGCCCGTTGGCGACCGAGCCGGGCCGTGCTTGGGCCAAGGCAAAAAAAACGGGCCTCGTGCTGGGCTAATGGGCTCGGGCTATATGCCCATATATAGCCCTAGTGCTGAAAGTGTGGCTCCTTTTTTTGTGAGACCTAGTTATAGACGTCAGACGTTCACATACACGAGCGCACACTCACCCCTATAAACACACATACGTACACCCTACTCCTAAAAACTGAGTTGAACCGACAAATCTCAAGATTGACAAAGTCACCACAGACGTCTCGTTGTCGATGAGCACGTCGCCTACCACTGAGCACCTGCGTCAAGTCGGAGACTTAAACCCGGGTGGACAGGTTCCACCAAAAAAAAAAACCAATCATCTAAGCTAAAAGGCCTGAAACTAGCATCATCGTGTTTATTGAGTCAAATGCCCGGACCTTGATATCCGTGCTTTCTTATGAAGATTTTGATCAATTAGAGCTTTTTTTAAATTTTTTTCTTGGGTGGGGTGGGGGGCGCTTTATCGATTCTGGGAGTGCTGTTCAGGGATATAAAAAGTCATATGCCCTTTGGTTTCATGTCGTAATATTGCTAAGTGCCATAGGACTCGTAATGTTGTAGCTGATTGTCTAGCATCTTTTGGTGCTTGTTTGAATGTGGGTAATTCTAGGTTGTGGCTAGATCAGGCAGCAGAGTTTGTACTGCTTCTCATTTCCGGTGATTTACCAAAACCGGTTAGTTAATGGAATTGTGTTTCCATCTCAAAAAATTGTTTTTCAAAATAAAATGAGACCATTGCAGCTAGTCTAAACATGCCAACAAGTCTAGTGTGAGTGTGAGACCGTGATACCGGATATCGACTTTTGGCTAAGGAGACAAAAAAAAATGCACACATACCAAAAAAATATTACACGGTGGGGTCAGTTTAGCAGATCTCCACCTCCTCCTAACAAGGCTACGGCTCTACCTTTTGGCAGGTCTTTAGCTGAAGCCGGAGCCGCTCCAGGAGCTCTGGCAAATGAGCCCTTAGACTACATTGTCATCAACTCTCCCCAAATATTGATACATCCAAAGTCCAAAAGACGAGAACTGAATGATGATCACAACTATAATTAGAATTTAGCACGCAAAGGTTGCCAAAAAGGTGCAGTCAGCTAATGAGCTTGCACACAAAATGGTCACACATCACGATTATTTCCATGATAGACACCAACCGATTTACCGACGGAATAAGCACACCTGCTACATCTAACAAGATGCCGGGAATATAGCAGCAACATAGGCAGGTACAGAGCTTCATTCGGAGCGTATTCCTCCCATGAAGGTTCTTGGGTCAGGGCAGGTTCCACTGAACTGAGCCTGTGAAAAGTCGAACCCTGGGTTCTAAAAATGTAAAAATGGTAGATAACAGAATTAGAAAAGGTGCATTAAAATGAAACTCGAAATGTGTATGATAAGGCTGCTGCATGTCATATGGAACTTCTACATACATTATACGTCGTCGTCCTCCAGACTAGTATTATGCACACTGTTTGGGTTTAGAGAAGGGTCTTCAAAAAAGTTGGCACTGTTATTAATAGCTTCAACCACACCTCCTATAAATATGGCAGTGTTTTGCCATTTTTGCTCTTATTACCACCAAATTACTACATAGTAGAGCCAGGGTGTTCTCTTTATTCTGATGTTTGACAGAGTCAGGCTACCACACCCACAGTAAACTTCTCTTATTGGCGGTAGACATTTTTTGTGATTGCAGAATTTGGCAAGATCAGTGTTAGGAAATAACTGCCAGCAGCCTGAGCATATTATCATAAAAACAATTCACTAATGGCCTGTTTGGATCCCATGAATTGAAACCAATATCTAGAAAGTGCTTCTCATTTCATTATTAGATTACTTTCCAGTTCCTCTCAATTCCTGGGAACCAAACAGGGCCTAAGAGTAACCGATAAGTCCACTTTTAAAGAATGGAGGAATGAAGTGTAGCATACACAATATCAGAGACAACATGCCCCTGCAAGTCCTAAAATTCTTAACTCAAATCAAGTATTGTCCAACTCTAGCTTATTACACAACACCAATCGTTTTCAACTCAAAGTTACCACACCCAAGTGAATCAAGCAACCTACATAGTTTTAGGCCCTTATTATCAGTAACAATCATGAGATTAGTATAGATCGCAGGAAAACTGGTCAGATCCAAATTCAAACTGGCGATATCGTTATTAGCTTGCTTATCGTACTCTGATTCAACCATCTTAGCTACATTCTCTAGTTACACTGCAAGTTCTTTTAATAGTATACAAATTTGAATGCGAAACTAATCTTGCCAAACAAGACTTTTCCATTGGATCTGTAATTTGACTTGAGGTATTAGCATGCAAACCATATGGTTGGTGATTCAAAAATATCTGGCCCTCTTTCATATTGTATTCATGTACAGATGACCTGAGTTAGAAAACTGAAAACAACTCAACAAACTAAGAAAAGAAAATGAAGCATGAAAGCATGAGATGGGAATGAATGGAAATAGAACTTGTACAGTGGAGGGAGGGAAGGAGATGTTGGTGATTCAAAAATATCTAGCCCTCTTTCATATTGTATTCATGTACAGATGACCTGAGTTAGAAAACTGAAAACAACTCAACAAACTAAGAAAAGAAAATGAAGCATGAAAGCATGAGATGGGAATGCATGGAAATAGAACTTGTACAGTGGAGGGAGGGAAGGAGATCATACCTCTTCCTGAAACCTTTGGAGCATAAGCCGCTTTTGCTCTTGATCTGCAGCATATGGATCCAAAATTCCTTGCCCTTGTATTGGAGATGACCATGTTTTCCCGTTCTCTCTTTTTTGCAGTGTGATATGCATCTCACCATCCTCTGTATTGTCATCACCATGGCCCATGTTAAAAATTATAATCGAATAAGGTGTATATGACTCAGATTGCATTACAGACATATCCTAATATCCATAGTACTAAATTTCATGTGAGTGGCAGATACTAGCATGCCCTTATACATAATCTCATGTTATCACTAGCTCACAAGTTTTACTGGCTGTTCCAAAAATCATCACAGCACAGAAGCATCTAATTGTTGATTCTAGCAAAGCATGTTGTCAAATTCACTTGTTCTGTAGATTGACAGAAACGATGTGTTTTTCTACAGCCCCAGGTTGGCTGCACAATTCAATGCTACTTTTGCTCTAGTTCTGCACTAACTCAGATTATAAAAAAAAAACAGCCAACAACGGCCAATACTTGATGCCAGTGAGTTTCTACCATAAACTATACAGACTGATAAGATCATTGGCATGGAATTGATACTGCATTTGTCATGAAAGATATATTCATATCATTATATTTATGATAAGTTGATAACTATTACCAGCATAAGTAAGACTATAAAAGGTCAAAGATGTGCGCTGGAGACATATTTTGTTGTCTAAAGTAACTAGTAAAACACAAAAGGGTACCAAATCAGGAGCAGTAGTACACTTGTATTCATCAACAATTTCTGCTATCCAGCTCTCAACTAACCCTGGCAAAAACTAAAGCCACCCAACAATATCCAATGATTATCAGTACAGCTGCTAAGTAGTTTTTTATTTGTCTCAGCGAAGCAGGAGCAATCGCTTTCATCAATTAACCCTTTTATTAATTGGTAAAAGCACCGTGCCAATTTGACAATTATAAGCGCAGACAGCTTGTACCAACCGAACAACAATTTCAAGAACACTTCTCGCGAAGATGTCAGAAATACTACAGAAATCAATATCTACCGTTCAGGTTCAGAAAAAATGAAGTAAATGTTCAAGAGCGATAAGTTCGACCACACCTATTGTCCAGAACGACGAGTCGGTCTTCACGGGGTGCGTCAGGTCGTGCTGCAAAATCACCCAAAAAAATATTCAATCCCCAACCAGACGCGAGGAAATCTTGGGAACCTAGTGGAACCGAATCGCAAGGGAGCCTTGAGTAGGAGCACAGACGTTGAGGTATGGTGGGTTGCCGCGGATGCCGACCTCGACGTGGCTCGCCTGGATGGTGCAGTGGAAGAGCTTGGTGGGCACGCCCTTGGGGAGTTCGATGTACATGTTCACCTCCTCTAGCGTCTGGTCCCACTCGAACACCTTCTGCCCTGCTCATGGCGGGGATGGGGATCGACCCTAAGTCAGAGGGGTGGGGGTGCCGCGGGGAAGGCGGGCTGTGGAGGATACGAAGGGGGGGAAGCGGCTCACCGTTGTGCACGAAGGTGTGGCGCTTCTCGGGGGCCAGCTTCTCCGCCATGGATGGACGCCGGTGGGAGCACGTGCTCAGTCCTCCCGACGCGTCTAGAAGATTCCGGACTCTGGTTCGCGTGACTCTGCTAAGGTACGGGAGCGGACGGTTGCGGCGACGGGAGTGGCGAATTTTGCCCCAGGGAACGCCGGGAGCCCGGGTCGGCTCGGTCGAGCCGGACGGCGCCCGTGTGCGCTCGTGTTGGGGAAAACAACGGTTCTGCAGAAGTGCTGCGATGGGAATAACCGAATAACGACCAAAATTCATGGTCCGTTTGAAACTGAAAAAAACAAAATCATGGTCCGTTTGAAACTGGAAAAAAAAATCATGGTCCGTTAAAGGATGTCATTTAGATCCTCCTGCTGTCAAAATGCCTTCAACTTAGCAAGTGGTGTGACTTAGATCTCTGTACCCTCGTACTATTATTTTTGAGTCTCTAAACTTAATTTTAGGTTTTATTTGAATCTTAACAGGTTTTAACTTGCTTTGTACGTGACATAGCACTTTGACTTTGCATTAATGCAAACTCAATATATAGGGCCCACATGTTAAGTTCACCCACCTCATATATCCAGAGAATCAGTCTCATGTGACATTAGGCCTCACTGTCATCGCCCTCCATTCTCATGCCTCGTGCTCATGGCCACCTCGTGCGTCCATACTCGAGGCTAACATTATATGTCTCCCACGCCGCCTAGAGGCCAGGGGTGGACAACGCTGGTAGAGGCGTTATCCGCCTCCACCATGGCAGTATTAGAGTACGAGGAACGGTTCACGACGACAATGGAGGAAGTCGAGAGGAGCGAGCTTGGCGCCAAGTTCTAGTCACCCGAGGCGAAGCCTCACCGCGTGCTCACCAACCTCACACCCAGGCCTCACATGCCAAAGGTTCCGCGCTCACGCCTCTCATGACACCAGCTCCACACCCATGCACAGGCCTCCCACGTCACTAGTTTCATACTCACACTTGCACCTCCAGCTATCGACTCTGCGCTCATGCTCCCAAGATCGTTGCCCCACGACGTGGCCTTGATGTGCTTGGCGGCGAGGGGCTGCGTGAAAAAGCCACTTGACCTCGCCAAGGGCGACAATGTTAGGGGTTAATACCCTTTGGGGGAAACTCCTCCCTCTCTCCTTTTTTCTTGACCATTAACTCAATCATTTGCGGCTCTCGTAAATGTCATCTCTTATAGGTACATAGGTAGCGATCGACAACACTAGCCTTAGTAAAGACATATTAAGCTAGTCCGAGAGAGGATGAGCACGGGAGCATCGCCAAGAAACACCGTGAAGCCATTCATGGTGCCCAACAAAGATACCCTCACTAGGTCCAAAGGGTGAAGCCATATTCGAGGACAACATTCCGAAGGGTCCAACAAGGATTATTGAAAGGATCTAGCAAGTGGCCTAGAGGGGGGGTGAATAGGCCTTTTCTGAAATTTAATCAACTTATGAAAACAGTTAGAATGCGGAACCTCTGAGTTTGAGCGCGAAGGTTCTGGGGTGCGGAGGTTTCGGGACTAAGCGTGGAACCTTCGGGGATCATAGTATGAAATCGATCTACTGCGGAATTTAACGAATGAAAAAATAGATCGAATGTAATACCAGCCTTCCTAGGGAGTATGTTGACCTATCAAATAGTCGGTTGCACCTAGAAGATGAGGAATTCATAGATCGGATGCAAACCCTAAAAATCAATCCAAATCACAAGTAATAGCAACAACAACAGTAATCACAGTGAACACAAGGATTTATCCCGTGGTTCAACTCGCCACAAAGGCTTGTTTACATCCACGTTGTTGAGGTTAGCCACAAAGGCTATGGAGTCTCTTTCAACTCGCTCCTCTTCTCCAACCTATCACCAAGGCAATGGGTTAGAGGGTTCCACTAAGTCACAAAGGGTAATACAAACTTTTCGGTGCTCAACCACAGCGGATTGGGAGCTACCGGGCGACCGCTAGCCATCTAGGAGCCAAGCTCCAAGAGTAATGAACACACCAAGCGGTTAGGGCTTCACCAAGTGCACAAGAACGGAGGAGAAGGATCTTCTCGAGCTTTCTCACACTCTGTAGAGCCAAATCCCTCAAGGAATCACAAAGATTTGAGCAAGGGAGTTGGGAACACCAAGCTTGCGTGAGAGAGAGAGCTTTAGTTCGAGTCTGAGTGAATGAGGAAGAAGATGACCGTTGGGGGCAAAGGGGTATGGTATAAATACCACCCACGTCACCCATAAAATGGTTTGGTCAGACAGACCCCGGAGCCTCCGCGTTTGAGCGCGAAGGTTCCACGCCACGGAGGTTCCGCAACTGAGCGCGGAGGTTCCGCGTAGGCCAGAGCAGATAAGAATTCAACTCTGCTGGCTTTTTGTGGCTAGGATTATTTGAGTTGAATATGGAGTTTTGAGCACTTGGTTCCACCCAGCACACCATTAGTATCCCCCTTGATAGTACGGCTTGTCCTATGACTCAATTTCAAAATATAAAATGAATTAACATAGCTCTTTGAGCCGTTGCAAGCCATCGATTCAAGTTGGGGAATCTCCTCCTTTGTTTCTTTGCATCCATGATTAAAGATATTTTATCAAACACTTGTCAAAGCCATTAGTCCTTTAATTATGTGGTCAACATCACCAAAATCCACTTAGAGCTTGATTGCACTTACAATCTCCCCCTTTTTGGTAAATGTTGACAACACAATTAAAGCTTACATTTAATTGAGAGATTGAGCTTTTTATAGCAAGAATACAAAGGCTCCCCCTTAATATATGCAAGATTTGTTTGGAATTATAAAAATGTCCCTCAAGACATTCTCTGCATATATTAAGAGCAAGTGTGAAAGATACATTGTATTCATGCCATCATGGGGTGCAAAAGAAGTGTGTCAAATAATAATTCGTGATGCGTATGATAGTTTATGCACAAAAGAAAATATCCTGGGTCTACAGACCGTGGAGCCTCTGGGGCCAAAGTGCGGAGCCTCCGCATTCTGCACACTTAGAATCTTCTAATCAGAATAGAAAGCATCACATATATATGAACAGACATCACATAGTTATGGAATGCTAGTAACTTATGAATATAAAGAAGTTTTACCACAGTTCTAGCATTTCATTTCACATAAAAATTCACATATCCATGTCCATGACCACCAATCGCCACACAAAGGCGAATCAAAGTATTATTACAGACCTCTAAGATAGAAAGAGAGTTCGAAAAAAAAAACCTCGACTCTCACAACTCACAATGTCCACGACTACTACTGCCACCATGACGAAAAAATGACGACGACACAAAAGAAACATCTCAATCTTGCCTCTCTCCCCCTTTGTCAACATATGGCAAAAAAGGGAAAGAATAAGAGAGGTAAAGCACGGTCGTCTCACTGCTCCTTGCTCCAGTCACTGCCAATGTCACTGTCATCATCATCTACCGGGTCGGTCTACTGCCTGCTGCCTAAAACAGTCCTCTCACCAGACTCCTCGTCACTGTCACTCACAACAGCCCTGCCGGCTCTGTGTAGTAGTTGTATGCCTCTATGGACTGGACTGTCCTCTCTCACGTCTGAGGATGTTCGTCCTCTCACCAAGCGTCTCCTGATCATGAGGATACTCCATCTCTTCATCATCCTCACTACTGTCCTCATAAGGTGGAAACATTGGCGGTGGCGGAATCTCTCTAACCTCAAGTCCCAGCTGCCTCTTCATGTCATTGATGTCCTTCCTTCCCTCATAAGCGGCATCCACAGCATATTGACACATGCAAAATATGTTCTTGAGCAACTCCTTGAGCTTGCTCCCCCTAGATCTATGGTGGGAAGAGAAAGGCCTCCTGCTGCTAGGTCTCTCTAAGGGTGCAACCCCTGCTACAACTAACGTGCTAGCAGCCCCAACCAGTGCCTCCCAGCCTATGTGCTGCCACTATGTCAACATGTATGGCCTGTGCTCCACATCCTTCTTAAACTCAATGCCGGACACCCTCTCAATGATGTACATGATGTAAGGAGCATACGGGAGATCATTCCTAGCATCATCTAATGAGTCACTCAACTCAGCCCAAATAAACCTGCTAATAGAGAAAGCATCACTCCCTAGAGCCATCCTTACAAGCAAGTTCTTTGCATACTTCCTCATTGAAGTTGAGTCACCACCTTTTGGGTTGATTGTCTCTCTAAAAAGGTTGTTCATGGCATAGTAGAAAGACTTCAGCTCTACTGTTTTCCCATCAGCTAGACCTCTCCTCTCATATGCAAATACAATATCCTTAGCTTTCATGACATTCTCTGTCTGAATGGTGTCTGCATATCTATCTCCACTCCCAAACCCTAGAAGACGAGCAAAAGTAGTGAAATCTACCTTGTAGTGAACTCCTTCCATCAACCAATGAATGGTCTCATTTGCCACATCATGGAAGAAAGTGGCATGAAACTGAGCTAGGATCTCTCGATTCCAATCATATTGGAAACCCATAATGTCCTTCAGCCCATGCTCAGTCACTGTATCTATCACTCTCTTGGAATCTAGGGTGTTCGTGCTCTCAATGTGATCCCAGTCAATGTACTTCATCTGCACTATCTTCTTTTCTTTGGCAAGAATCACAGTCTTGTAGAAGTCAAACTGAAATATAGACCAAAACCTATAGTCTATCCCTCTATCATTCAGCCACACATAGGGATTTTCTGCCCTAGCTCTCTTGACTTGCACTCCTGAATTGTGATAGTTCTTCAGGTGCTTTGGACTCCATGATCATAGATCCTTTGGTTCTCTCCTCCTTTGGAGCACCACGATCTTTGAACCATGTAGGACTAATCAAATTCTAAGAATCAAGCAGGTGTATCTAGTGCTCCGACTGTAGGTATAGTCTTCCCTTCTCTTCCTCCATCATCGACAGGTCCTTCTCCATGTCCAGCACTAGCCCCATGACCAGCACTGCCACAACCAGCACCACTACCACTGCCTTGCCCACTGCCTCTTCTAGGTTGAGCTTTTCAGCTGCCTCTACCATAGACCTGCT